GGGTTTATCACCAGCATCAAGTCCTGAAGAATATCGAGAAGGGCATTATTGTAAATTACTCAAGACTCATGCTAATTCGAGTGTTTAAGAGAGATGGATACCTTTCATCACTTCGTAAGACAACATAGGGACGTAAACTCCAGCATATGATTCACCAGCGATGAAAAAAGGATTTGAAAGGAATTCGGGATATAACGTGAACCACTGAAATCACATAAACACAAAACGTAATAAATATGTTAATATTTCAAAATATGAATATCTTTGAAGGTGAATTTTTTTTTTTTTTAATTACCTCAAGGAGAAATTTGTGGGAATCTAAAGCCGTTGTTGTATCTCTGGTGATGTAATCGGATTTGTTACCGGAATAAGACATTCCGACTCCAGCAGGAGAGTCCAAATATATCACATTTGAAACCTGACCAAATGAAAAAAAAATGATCAAATTTATGTAATTATTAAAATTATAAAATTAGTTTTGATGAACTTGAAAACAGGAAGTATGTATATGAACCTTGGCCCATGTATATGGATTAAGATGAAGCTTGGGCAAGCTTCCTGTTTTTTCAAAATTAAACGGACCTGCAACACGATCAATGATTAAGCAAATTCATGATCCAAAAATTTGTGAATACCCAATTTATAAATTACTATTTGCTGTAATTCCGAAGTTTGACTATTAAAGTCAGCAAGTGTTGTTGTTTGGAAATCGATCATGTCATATAGAGTCAACTCTGCAGATGAATTTAGTAAAACTCCTCTGCATATGAATTTAGTAAAACTCTTATGCCCTAAATTTTCTCATAAAACACAAGGACGCGTATCCTTTTTATGTTTAGAAAATTGTTAAATGGATTATCCGATCAGGATTTCATGCGACTCGTGTTATTTTGGTACTGAAAAAATGAGAAAAGCAGAAAATCAAGAAAGAAAGATTCATGATTCTAATAGAACAGTGAAGTATGTACCATGTTCATAAACAAACCCATCAAAACTGGAGCAACCAGGGCCACCATTGAGCCATAGAACCACTGGATCCTGAGAAGGGTTTCTTTCTGAAAGAACATAATAATAATACAGTTTCTTGCCATGGTTTTCATCAATTGTCACATACCTGTAAACGATTATGCAAAAACAAACACAAACCCATCAAGAAAACGCGAACCTTTTATTGTAAACATCAAGAGAGAAGTAAAGAAAGCAAACCCAGCATAGTGTTTGGATGGTAGAGTGCCATCGAAACCAGGAACGTGAGTAACTATGGCATCCTGGGGAGCGGATTGTGCCAATAAAATGGTAAATGAGAGACAAATCAATAAGATTAGGTGGATTGAGTTCATTGTTTTGATCATTTAAGAAAAAATAATTTGGGGGATTCAAGAAAGAGAAAAGGGGGAAAGATTCTTGAATCTGTTTTGAAGTTTCTGTGGGAGTGAAGGCTAAATATAAAATGGGAGCATAGAAGAGAGTGAAATTTGTCAGTTGCTCGCTTACAAGGCAAGTGAAGGATAAGAGGGAGACTGTGGAAGAGTGGGTTCCAACAGAGCCACCAACTTTTGAGACTTTCTCTGTTCACACAAAGGCAGCCCCTTTTTGATGGCCCAAAGTACAGGTACAAATACGGTATTCCGTATTCGGCACATATCTGGTATCTGGATTCATTAAGAGCTGTCTTCTGAATCAGTCTAGTATTCAGTGTATTTGGATCAAAAGCTTAGAAACCATTCAGTGACATTCATCTCACCTATGTATACGTGCCTCAAGAGTAAAGTTTTAAAGTCGATAAACTCATGTTTAGCTTGAGTGTGTAACATGTTAAATGATTTTTCTATTTAATTGTTAGAGAAATTAAATTGATTCTTATTTTTTAGGGAAATCTGCGAAAAAGTCCTAATATTTTAGGTCAGTTTACGATTTAGTCCCAAATTAAATTTTGTTTACAAAAAAGGACAGATTACCGGCTAAAACTTCGGATTAACTCTTCGTGGCCGGTTTCACAGATTTAGCCGGTATCTCGTCTTTTTTCGTTAATTAATCAAAAATTTAGGGTTTTTTCATTAATTAATCAAAATTTTAGAGCTTTTTTATTATTTATTATCAATAAACCAAAATATTTGGACTTTTCTGAAGATTACCTTTAAACTAATATATATTATATGATCTAATTTAATATGTACAATTCCATGTCTTTTTTCTTATGCTCTTCTAGGCTCACTGTGCGTTTTTATCGGTGTCGTCAAACCCAACAACAAAAATATTACTCACAAGCCTCGTTAACTCCATTGATTTTCCAAAATTATCCATTCACAACTCTATGATCATCTTTCAATCTCCAAATAAAGAACGGAGAAAATCCTTATTGATTACGTGGATGCCCATATTACCTAACCATGACTTCAACTATGGTTCCAACACTTGGATGTTCCTATTACCTAACCATGACTTGAATTCTATTTCGAACCCATACACTAGTCGCATTGTCCATAGTGTTGTTCACAACAAAATACGAATCCCACATGGTTTAACAACTGATACCTTGGCTCAAGTCTTACATGATCCTTGTTTCCTTACAATAGGGCTTGAAAACCATGAAGAATGAACCATTAATCTTAAAAAACTCAACATATGTAAAAAAATCAACTCGATATGATGTATTGAAAACCATGAAGAATGTTAACTCTAATTGTAAAAAAAATGTCAACAAGCTATCCATCATAAACTATTAAAATATTAATTTGGTATACCTACGAGCTACGGTTCCAACACTCGGATGTTCCTATTACCTAACCATGACTTGAACCTTATTTTGAACCCATACACTAACAACATTGTCCATAGTTTTGTTAACAACAAAATACAAATCCCACATGGTTTAACCACTGATACCTTGGCTCAAGTCTTACTTGACCCTTGTTTCCTTACAATAGGTGTAACATCCCGACTCCCAGGTATAATATTTAATTAAGTTATATTCTTGTTGTCTGATCAACTTGACGAGTTGGAGGCCCCAACTCGCCGAGTAGAGAGTGTTAATGGTCGTGTAATTTCTAGAGTCTACTCGACGAGTTGGAGGATCCCAACTCGACGAGTAGGAGCTGAGTGTGAAAACCCTAATTTTCAGGGTTTGTGTCTTGCCAAAAACTAATGCATTCTGGAAGCCCCAAATAAACTAAAACGTAATAATAACAATTATTGTAATATTACAATAATTGTCATTATTACGATTTAGTCTATTTGGGGCTTCTAAAATGCTTTACTTTTTGACAAAAAAAAACAATAAATGATGAACCATGTGGGATTTATCTTATGTCGGGGCTTCTATAGTGTTGTAAGGAAACAAGGGCCAAGTAAGACTTGAGCCAATGTATCAGTGGTTGAACGTGTGAGATTCGTCTTCTATTGTTAACAACACTATGGACAACGCCATTAGTGTATGGGTTCAAGTCATGGTTAGGTAATAGGAACATCCAAGTGTTGGAACCACGGTTTAAGTCATGGTTAGGTAATAGGGACATCCACGTAATCAACAAGGATTTTCTCTGTTCTTTATTTGGAGATTGAAAGATGATCATAGAGTTGTGAATGGATAATTTTGGAAAATCGATGGAGTTAACAAGACTTGTGAGTGAGATATTTGTTGTTGGGTTTGACGACACCGATAAAAACACACAGTGAGCCTAGAAGAGCATAAGAAAGAAGACATTGAATAGTACATATTAAATTAGATCATATAATATATATTAGTTTAAAGGTAATCTTCAGAAAAGTCCAAATATTTTGGTTTATTGGTAATAAATAATGAAAAAGCCCTAAAATTTTGATTAATTAATGAAAAAGCCCCAAAATTTTGATTAATTAACGAAAAAAGACGAGATACCGGCTAAATCTGTGAAACCGGCCACGAAGGGTTAATCCGAAGTTTTAGTCGGTAATTTGTCCTTTTTTGTAAACAAAATTTAATTTTGGACTAAATCGTAAACTGGTCTAAAATATTTGGATTTTTTCGCAGATTTCCCTATTTTTTATGTCTACAAATATTTATATTCAATAAAATTATAACAAATATCATCATTTTCATATTTTTTTAACTAACTCATTAAGATTATTATATAATATGAATATATCAAATAAAATAAAATTAAATGGTGATTTTTTATAATTTTACTGGGTTATAGAATATGATACCACATGTTAAAAATTACAAGAATTCAAACTCAAATTTGTAAAAGTACCAAATATAAAGTTTAAGTGACAATAACAAACTTCCAAAATGGTACTTTTACCATATAAATCAACAATCTTTTTAGCAAATAATTCAGTTTATGGTAATAATATCCATATATGCCTGAAAATGAAACTTTGTTTATCATATGAGCTAAAACGAAAGTTTTGAAATTCCATTTTTGGCGACAACATAAACGTATTTTTTTAGCTAAGTCCAGTACATTTCCCAAAAAAAGTACTTTTGGCAAAAATAAGAAATATTCGATGACCAATATCGTTAAAGCTTATCAAATAATCCCACCAAAATGCTTCAACTGGGAAACCAAAAATCGCTATCACACTTTGGATTTTCCCATCATTTTAGAAGTACGTTTAACAAATTTTGGCCTAATTTCAAGAGTGGGAATTTAAGAATTACAAGTAAAATGTTAACAAAAGAATCTGAACTTTTGGTCGTAATCTATATCCCATTTGCATGTATTTCGGGGGACAAAGTTATCCTTCACTTATATTCTCTTATAAGTTTGAAGAAAAATAAAAGAAAAGACAAAGTAAGTTATTCAAAAGAGAAAAGAAACACAATGCCTATATAATGTGTTATAAATAATAATAATACCTTGATATAGTAATGTAGTGTAGTAGGTAGTTTCTATTGCTTTTTTTTGAAGGTTAAGTGTTTAAAACTCACATTCTCCTTTTCTTACTCATCCCACATTAATAGAAGCTCAAGTATTGATTATGGGTGTATTAAACCTAGTTAACAGTTCAAAAACTAAGGAATATTTTATATAAATATGGGACAAGTTGTAGGAGTTATACAAATTTTATATCAAACTATACACGTTAAACTAGAAGACAATGATGTCCATAAATTGATGTTGCTTTTCTCTTAAAGAACCCTGGGCCTCTGAAATCATTTTTTCTTTTACAAAAAGATACCAACTTTTTTTCTGTTGATCTATGACGATTGCAATATGCTTTTTTGATCCATCATCTTATCATCAAACTTAAAAATACTTCAAAGTGCAGTTAACATGACATAGAAAAGCAGAAAGCAACTTCACCGTACATATACCGATGCACAATGTACAACTCCCACCATCAAAAGGGTTACAAGGGCAATTATGCCTTTTCACTTACAAATGAAATGATACAATCTAATTACAGGTGAAATAATAGATAGAGAGTCGGCAGAGCATTCATGGGAAGAATTTGATCTAACTTTTTTTTCCTACAAATATGTCAAAATTTGAGTTCTTGATGATGTTTGGACTGTTCAACCATGGCTCATAAATGGTGTCACCTCACAGAAATTCCAACAAATGTGATGATTAATGCGATAAAGATTTGTGTAATTAATGTGGGAACTGAAGGTGCACTGGAAAATTTAACTCTTTGAGCCTGATCCCTGCATTCAGTTTATAGAAAAAATAAGATTTTGAAAAAGGATTGTCCTATAAGACTCTTTATGTTACACATGACATGACAGAACAGACTGTACTGTGTTTGACTTACACTGGATAGGACTGAAACGGATATGAATGGGCCAACCCAAAAAGGTAAAACAAGATTGGACTGGGGGACCCACTCTCGATTTCTTGTCAGTGTCCTCGTGATCCTCTTTATCAAAAATAGATTTAGAAAAATGATTTTTGTGTAAATAACTTACTTTTGCAAGGATGATAATACGCCACAAAAGATTGTATTTTCAGGCAAAGAAAGCTCTGTGTTTTCAGTGACCTCAGGATTAACCACACTCAAATAAACTTCTTGTCCAAGGTACCATGAATCTAGGTTTTGTGCTCTTAGGTTCCATAATCCCGCATTATCAAGATAAACCAGAATAGCTGTCCATGCTCCTGGGAAAACCTGTAAAAAAAAATATTAAAAACCTAAAAAAATTCAAGAAATAACAACGTTGTAAAGGTGGTGGAGATTACCTGAGTAGTACTGCGAGCCACCCCATCCCACTTGTTGTAAACACTTCTACTGTTCTCGGTCCATACTCCATAATCCATCCTAACATTTATACAAATATCATTGAAATCATATTATATCTTATAAATTCATAAAAATCATTATACTATAACTACATAAATGTATAAACGATAAACATACCCGACTACAAAAAACGCATAGCCATCCAAATGGTAGCTCTGAACTGTGGAATCATTATTTTGGAGTATAATTTCAATAAATCCTTTGAATGTCCCATTAATCACAGACGTATCGATTATTGAAGGGCGATTCATCGGTCTATTTGGGAAATCAAGCTTGTAGATTCCAAGAACATTATACTGTTGAGCAAGCTTCAATGGTGTTGAAGGAACAAAGAAAGATATACCATTAAGAGTAGTACGCCTTTTTCCATCTATAATTTCAGGTGGCTTATTCACGAGTAGAAATACATCCGTTACTGTAATCTCACCATACTTGAATGACCCTTGTGGATTCGGACGTGCCGCACCCGCAGAAACATTCATTCTTCAAATAAAAAAAATAATATAAACATAATCAAGAAAAAGATATAAACAATGGGGTTTCTGAAGCGTAATTGCAAATAAATATATCATAATTAAAACCTTATGGATCGTGCTTGAGTCATTGAGAAAGACGGGTCGGATTCGTTAGGGAGATCCGGGAGAGGACCTGAAGCGGGCGCTTGGGAATTTGAATAGTGCAAAATTGCAACTCCTGAGGCTTTTGTTGAATTGACAAAACGTGGACTGGCTACAATGTAATAATCGTTACTTGCAGTTTGATCCATCGTCACCAAGAAAGAATACGATTGGCCAACATGAATATCCATGTTTGAATAATTCTGTTGTACTGTGTATGAACCTTCGGTTTCTACAAGAAGCAAGTTATGGTTTTGGATTCTGAAGTTTAGACTTGTTGAGGTGCCAACATTGTGTACGCGAAATCGGTATGTTTTTCCTGTTAATAATCAAGTAAAAAAGAAAACAACCGATGACATAACATAAGGAACGAAAACATGATGTTTTAAAAGTTTCAAATTTTATGCTAAAAGAACCTCAAGATATTACCTGGTTCGACATTTATCACCTGGTATGCAATTCCATCAGGAACGATGCTACTATCATATCGATAAGGACCTAACCCATTGAACAAAATACCATCAGGAGATCCAAGATCAACCCCTTTTTCAATATCTTTCCTAAGATCCTGTTTAGGAACAACAAGTCTTTAGTCATTTTAGGTTGTGTTTGCTACACCGGACTAGACAAAAGCTTTGTAGAGCAATTTTCAATGACGAGGGCATTCACGTCCTTTTGCACAAACGAGAGATCAAGAGCTAGTCTTTGTCACACTTTTTTGGATGGGATAAACACTTTTTTGGATGGGATAAAAAAGTGCAATTTTTATCTTATTGACATTAAATGCACTCCAAATGTAAGTACAACTTGTTTTATTTTGACATATGTCCTGCATACCAAGACGGGGCCGTGGGCCCATCTGTTATGTAGGACAAAATAGAATATGATGACCTTGTACTGCTTTTGGCGGGCATTTCAGTAAGACTGATGTCAATAAGACAAAAACTGCAATCTTTTGTCCCACCTAAAAAGGTGTTTGACAAGGACTCGCTCTCGATCTCTTGTCTGTGCAAAATACATTAATGTCCTCCTCATAATTATCATTGAATAATGAAAATAGCACTAGGAAGATTGTCGATTCCCACATAAAAAAAAAAAAAAAAAAAAAAAAAAAAAAAAAGCCCTAGAATGCAGTTTTTTTGGTGATTTAGAACGAATAAAAATTGAAAATATGCTGACCTTATGACTCTTTATAAACCAGTCCCCGATGACAAGTGTAATGTCTCCATCAGGAGCACCGAAGGGTACAGGAATAACGTCTCTGTTGTTAATGGTGATTCCTCCATATCCGCCTGCAGCTCTTTGGAAATTTGTTGAAGGGAAGTAGAAAAAACTACCAATTTGATCCTTAACTTGAAACTCGTATGTCCAATTCCATCCAGCAGGAATAGGACAATTTGTCCCCAACACACCATCTTGCCATGAGTTTCTTCTATGTTGGATTCCATTCCTGTAATCGAAACTAGTATAATTCCCCTTTCTCCAAGAATCATAATGGTGTTAAATGATTCAGATTTCGTAGTCATGAAATTATACCATGTGAGAAGCACGGGTTCATCAAGATCATTCTTTACATTGACAACAACGTTCCAATTTGTTGTTGCTTCCAAAATTGGTCCCGGAAATTGCCCATCAATTGCAATCACCTACACATGAGTCGAGCCAACATCAACCGCCTAATTATTAACAAATAAACTTTTTCCCAAATTAAAGAACCCTACTTTCTTGAATTATACTGTAAGCCCTCTGTTTTTTTATCATTTGCATAAATCATTCCCTAAATCAGTACTTTACAGAGTATAATCTTCATAATTTACTAGTAAAAGCAATCGTTTTTTAAAACACCGACAACCCTAATCACAAAAACTTGCATATGATCATGAATTCGAGTAAAAAAGTAAGAAAAAAGCGCAAATAAGTTTGAAGTTTGAGAATCGCAGAAGATAACAGAAACAAAACCTGCTGTTTAACGCCAAGCGGTGATGCTGTGATGTAAGAGATTCTCCAGTCATAATACACAAATGGGTCTCCTGCAAATGCAAAATTAAACAAACCCACAAAAGAATTCAAGAAAATCCACCAAAATTTTGAGGGCATTGCATAAACACACACATACACGCACTATCAATCTGTAAAAGAATTATAGGGATCTGCGCTTTTTAGGCTGGGTGAAGAAAGAAAAGTAACATGGAAGACCGAAGACAAAGCACGCAGTGTCTCAGTGTCAGATCGATGACTCTGAGTCTGAAATATGAATGGGGTTTCCTTTTGGGGCCCACTGTTGACAAGATTATGGAAATTTGCGGCAAGTTTTGCTGTTTTATTTCGAATTTTTATCTTAGAGAAAGTCGCCGAATCTTCGATTTAAAGTGTCCATTCCTGTTTTTTTTTTCTTTTGAGTTAAGATACCTACCTAAAATAGAATAACTAAAACTCTAAAAGTCATTTCGAATATCAAGAATTTGTGGTGTTCAAAGTAGCTAAAAATTACGCCAACCTGGTAAATAACAACCATGGCATTTAAAGAATTTTAGATTTAAAAAGTTGGTTTATCTTTCAATATTATTATCATACACAAATTAAGAAAAATATTAATTATCACTAATTTTATATAATAAAATGATAGTTTTATCCTTACTTTGTATTTAATGTTTCATTAAATGCTTAGTTGGTTAAGTAATAATGATGGGGATATTTTGGTTAAAATGTTATTTATTTTTAGAAATGTGGACTATTATTTTGGAACAAACCAAAAAGAAAATATGGACTATAATTTTATGACGAAGGGAGTATATATTATACTGATACTCATTTATATAATATATATTTGATCGTGATTGGGAACTAAATATGTTGGACTAGAAGCCAGAAGGGGTATATAGCCGTTTGAAATATACTTTCTTTAGTTTTGACGGTAATTATAAAAACAGAAATAAAGAAACCGGTTTTTCCAAAAAAAAAAAAAAAAAACTTGGCCCTCTGCTTTTAGGCAATCGAGCCTTATACAAACGGTTTTATTTTAATCCAATTTTTTCTTTTGGATCAATTTTCAATTTAAAACAAAATATGAAGGTGCACCTCTATTGGGCTGGTTTTTAATGTTTCCACAAGCCCATACCCATCTACACATTTGGAGTTTAATTTTATAATATTTAAATAACCAAATTTGAGATGCAGGCAAGAACTTATTACAATCCTACGTGATTATTAATAACTTCGCAAAACGTTTTATGATGAATGATCCTAACTATAATACTCCTTTGAAGGTGTATATTTAACATCCCTTTAAAGAATGACGGAGCTTGGACATTTATTTTGGGAGCGAAAGTATAATATATATGAAAATCGGAGAGGAGGAGAGCCACAACATAAATTTTATATTTTTACCGTAAATATGTATAAAATCTAAAAAGTAAGGGCCATTTCTAACAAAAAAAAATCAAGGGGGGCCACAACCTCCCACCCCCTTTGCCCTAAGCAAGCTTAATCTATGCTTTTAAAGCAAGCTCCCCCCTTTATCCTAAGCAAGTTTCATCTATGCCTTTAAAGCAAGCTCCCCCCTTTTTCCTAAGCAAGCTTCATCTATGCCTTTAAAGCAAGCTCATCCGAGTTTGGTTAAAATCTTTCCACTTAATAAAAAAAAAAAAACAATTTTATCTATATTTTTATAAACTTGCATAATTATTTTTATATCTTTATTAAATTTTAAATTACATGTATATCCTTATAATACCTGTAAACTCACATATATACTCAAATACTTTATTTAAACATATTTGATATATTTAAAAATTAAAACATTATGTTTAAAACTAAAATACTAAAATACTCATTTGGAATTTCTTCTATAATTGATCTCCTTATTCATGATATGCTTTTATGTTACTTTATATTCTACATAATCGATTAACAAAATTCGGTGATTGCATGTTATTAATCATTTGTTAAACAATATATTTCATATCATATAATCGATTTATGAAACCTATGAATATTATCTTCTAAATAATTTTGTTCTTCCTTTAGTTCTCCGATAATGTGTATAGTAAGGTAAAATCATGAAGGAAAAAAAAACTAATTTCAATATGGGTAGAGGTGCAATCGTGTCATGTTGTGTCAAAACACTAAATGAGTTAAAAGTGTTTGACCCTAACCTGACATCTTTAATTAACGTGTCGTGTAGTCTCAACCCGTTTTATTTTCGTGTTGGGTTCGTGTCAGATTTCGTGTTAAGAGTATCCCTTGAAATATGTCATGTCATGTAAGGTTAAAAGATTGAGCATGTTGAAAGAGTATGAGTTGAGTAGACGAAAATGAAAATCTAATAGTCTGGAGGTGGAATAGATAAAGTCATATCAAGTTCATATTACAAAATTGAAAGAGTAGGAGCTGGGGAGGCGGAAGACAATGTGATAAGGATGAGATAGTAGTTAAAAGGACTGTGTAGTTTATGAGAGAACGGAAAAACTGAAAATAAAGTCTTGATTTAGACGGCTAAGTGCTTTCAACATTATCTTGTGAAATAGATCAACTGAAAACATCTTCAATGAAACACATTTCACAATTCCAAATCTCTACCCTAAATATGTGAATACTAATTCTTGTCATTTACTGTAATATGTTAGATTCTAAACTTATATGCAATGATGATCGTGTAATGACTATGCACAAAAGTCATAGAGACTTGGCAACAGACATTACAAAGTATTCCAATGGAGAGCAATTCCATAGAAACGAAGTCTCACATTCAAAGTACATTCCTTTGAACATCCTTCTTGCATTAAGCTTTATAATCTTACATAGATTTAATGAACAACTTCCACCTAAGGAAACATTTCCATATTCCCATATTGATTATCACTTTTGAACAAGAGTTGCCTCTTTTCAGAATATGTCAATATGGTCCTTCTAAAATTTACACTATACTTCCAACTGTCCATGAGCAATCAATCGTTGGTAAACCTCAGATTGTCCTCGACAATTGCTTAATCATTTTAGCCATATCCAGTTCTAGTCCTTTTCCCTCTTAATGCCCAAGGCATTTGGAAAATTGGAACACTTAAATATTGTAGCATATGCAATCGATCCTATACCCAAAGCATATGGGATACGATTTATAATGTCTCACATAAAGACATGATACTTTACCAGTCTCTTGCTACAATATTTCCACATATAGAATTCCCTTATGTTGAACCATTTCAACATAACATCCATATATGTTCTTTAATAAATTTGATTAAATTATCAATCTAAGCTTTTAGATTTGAAATGAATTATGAATTCCTCTCCCTTAATTATAGCAAAACAACTTTTCAAACCTTGCAACTTTGCGAATTGAAACTTTTGTTTTTACATAATTAATATTGCTAACTTGCAACACTTACCATAATAATTATGCTCCCACTAGCTTTGACATGTACCCAGAATTCAGGTAGACTTCTAGAAATCAATACTTATTTACTTCCTTACAAAAGTTCAGATATATGAAACTCATACACCTTTCCTTAGACAGCTCACATGTGAGTCTAAACAATTGTAGAACTTACAGCAACAAGTGTCAAATGTTTAGACCTTTTTCCATGTCTCACAATTCGAACTATGAAGAGGGATCCCGTAATCATAATTGAATTTAAGAATGCAAATGTCACAAATGTTATCTTCTTAAAATCTATTTGGTGAAAGTGCTTCCTCACAATCATTTTCATTAATTGGAGAGAAACCTTATGAAACTTAGATTTTATGGTGTATGTGTTCCTATCCACGTGAATTTGTCATAACCATAATCACAAGACAAGGTTAGTGACAAATCCAAAATCATATGGACTGAACTTGTTCAATCTTAATTTCCTGCCACTTGATAGCACAAGGGCCTACCATGTCATCCAAGTTGTTAAGCAACTCACCCATACTGATCAATGAAACTTTCATTGATCCAGGTGATTTGACTTATGCAAAAAATTGAGAACTCATAGAACTCACATGCATAGTCAACTTTTAACTAGAATGGGCACAAAAACTAGAATATGTCAACACAATAGGTTGCAAACTTCAAGTCGTGTGCTAGTGATAAATAATAGGTTTTATTAGTTCCTGAAACTTATTCAAGATCTTTAAGACTCCCACTGCCCTCTTGACATATAAATTTTCAAGAGTTAGTGCGGATTCTTATCAAGATAAACACTTCACACAATTGGTCTTAGTTGGTCTTTGTCCTCACCAAGACATCACAACTTACCAATTTCAAATGTACAAGAGCAAAAACATTTTACTTAACATTTGATGAGTGTTTTAAACCTTCTTAAGATTATGTCACTCAAGGCACAGTCTTAGAGTGCAACTCTAAGACTTGATTTTGGAACGAAGTATGATTCATCTATTTGATTGAACCACTTCAACAATTCACGATTCCTCTTTTTAGCCATACAAATGCACTAAGATGTCCTTAAAGGATCAATTGTGATACGATTTTCATAATCATTAAGATGATCATAAAACACGATACTCAAGTACTCTCCCTTCTTTTCATATTGGAGAAACTTCTATCTTTCTGCATAATTTGATTCTTCTCATTCGTTCTGCCATACATTGAAACTTTTCCAATATTTCAGAATTATACTTAAACTTGTAAGCATAACCATATCTACTAACTTTTAGTAAATCATGACGAATAGTCTTATCGATCTTTGTGGTTAACCTGATCAGCGCACAACGAAGTGTACCCAATCTCCTAGTCTTCCACTTGACTCACATATTCATGTGAACAAGGAATTAGTCTTAATTTCCCAAAGACAAAGGTTCCTATTCATCATAGAATACAAGTTGTATTATTCTAAGTTTCTATCCAACTGAAACTTGGGTGATTTGAATTTTTCCTTATTTGGTAAATTTTGACACTACCACAAACGAAAGAATCAAATCCATATTGTTGATAATAGAAACATACAAACATCAATTTTCACAAATGTCATTGCAAGGAGACAAAATAAAATCAAATTTTTATTTATTTATAAAATTCAGAAAAAACTTTTCCTTACAATGCAATTACAAATGAAAACTATGTTACTACATATTTCTAAGCAATCTATCATAACTCCTAAGCAGCAGCTCAAAAATCCGATCTTCGAACCATATGATCAAAATCCATCTCTTTGCGATCAGATTCAACATGCTCTTACTTCTAAGCTTCCTTCCTTTTGTATGATCCTACAAAACATCAAAATGCAAAACTTGTCACATTATGTATTAAGAATCAACAATTAGAAACTTAATAGAGTTAGATAGTGGACATACCTGAAGTAGAACCATACAATTTGATTAAAGTTCTTAGATACTCAGGGCA